CTGCACGATCCGTCGCGGCGGGCTCGTGTGCACGGATCTTTCGCGCGGCTCTTGCACGCGGGACAAACCGCTCGTATGTGGACGGTCTACCACGCGGCGGAACCGTGCGGTCCAAACCGCTTGTGTGCCCACATCCTAACCCTACGTTGCGGAAACTGCACATCAAATACATTTAATGCTTTATTAAATGTATTTGATGTGCAGTTTCGCCAGTTTCAATTATTAAATTGGCACTGACAATACCTTTTTACTTTGCAACCAAGCCGGCCGGCAGCGGCTGCAGCGCTATCATCGGCTGCTCGTCCTCGCCCTCGATCGTCTCCACGGTCTCGCACGGTATCTCCACCGGGATCGCCTCTATCTCCTGAATGTCCGGTTGAATCTCCACTTCGGTTATTATCCGAGAACGCCAACAGATAACCTTAAACTTTGCATCAGATCAAATAGTTACGAGTTGTACAAAATATTTCAAAATATTACGTAATTTATATACTAAAATTGTTTTGCTAACTTTATTAAATATTTTATGAGATGTAAGTTTAGGGAAGAAAAGGATTACCTTTGATATCAATCACACTGTTTTCTTCCTGGATTGCACGTCGCCATGTCACTCCACGTACTGCTACCGGAAAAAGATCGGAACAGAAATGACGGATGCAGATGGCGCTGATATACGTACCGTTTTCATATCTTGAGTATAATTGAAGATTATACGCACGCGCAAGACACGAGTACGATACCATCTCAGTACTTTGAGTAAAACCTGAGATTTTACGCGCGCGGTAGAAAGGCGTACGTATCGTTTCCGTACCTTCAGTCAAACCTGAGATCATACGCGCGCGAAAGAAAACCGAATGATACTGTAAAAGATATTATAGCGTTGATCTCAGTATTTTACGGATGATCACAGTACATTGAGTATAACAATGGGATGATACGTATGATATCATGTGCTGTGTGGGAAATATGGCTGAAAACATAAATAGTAATATAAATAAAGTAATCACAACAAATTATAAATATTAAATTAACTTATTGAATATTAAAGTAACTTGTTAAATATTAAAAAAAGAGAATAATAATCTATTTAAGTATAGTTAGGTTATTTATTGGGCTTTAGGTTAAATATAGGTTATTTATTGTTTGTAAATATAAAATAACCTATTAAATATTAAACTAGTGTATTTATTGCATAAAATTGTATTTATAATCAAAATTATGAATTATTTACATTATACAGAATATAAAAGAATTTTTATAACTAATAGATCAGCTGAAAGCAAAGTCATGGAAAGTGAAACAGCAATTATACAAAGAGATGCGGCAGGAAATATTTTAATTGATGAAAATGGATTTGTTACTTGCATTTCTGAAGGTAAGTCAAATTATCTATTATATAAAATATGAGAATAATTAAAAAATCAACAAAAATGAAAATTTATATATTATTTTTTTAGGAGGGCTGGAATTTCAAATTTGTTATTCAGAGATCAATTTTAACTGCGACTCCATAAATTGTACGGTAAACAACAAGTCAATGTTCATTCCGTTAAATGATAATAATAACGAAAGCAATAAAGAAAATCAACAAGACAACTACACGGAAAATAGAATACCAGAAAGCTCAGAAAGTATAGAAGAAACATTTTCATGGTCAGATGCAAGCACAAAATTATTTTTATGTTTGTATAAAGAAAAAATACATTTACTTACGACAAGAAAAATTAGAAACAAAAAAGTATTATGGCAAAAAATAGCAGAAGAAATGAATATACAAGGCTATAATGTATCAAATATACAAACTGAAAATAAATTTAAATCATTAGAAAGAGCTTACAAAAATATGATTACAAATAACAAAAAAACTGGCAGAAGTAGAGTAACATGTCCATATGAAACGTAAGTTATTATATTTTAACTGAAGAATTAATATAATATATATACAAATGTAATACATTTATATATACTTATGCACTAAGATTTTTTGCTTTAACTTTTTTCAAATATCTATCTTAAAAAAATTGTAGTAGGAAAATATTTTTTATAATATAAAATGCATTATTATAGAGAATTGACGGATTTAATTGGGAGTAAACATAATATTGAACCTCTAATCACATCTGGAAATAAAGGCACAATACTGAGAACTGACAGAACTACACCTACGTAAGTTTTATATAAGTTCTTTTAATAATTTGCGTATTATTTCTTATATTAGATAATATTAAATAATCTTTTACATAATAATTACTAAAGTTTAGTTAATGGTTAAAGAACACATATATGGAAGACATTTCTTTATACACAAATAAAATTGTTACACAAATTGTTTAATGTATTTAATACTAATTAATGTCATTATAGGTTCACTAGTGGTGTATCTGAAACAGAAAATATACCGACAGGAAGTAACGCATCAGCCAGTCAAGATATTTCAATATTTGAATCGGGAACAACCAACCAAGAATCAATGCCAATAGCAACAACACCAACTATGTCTAATCAGTCTAATCTACAAAACACACTTTCTGTTGAAGAAATGCAAAGCAGAAACAAAAGGCAAATGGGCACAACAGCAAAAGTTTTGCAATCGTGTCAAGAAAGTATGAAAGAACTGATAGAACGTATTCAAGAAGAAAAGCACGATAAAATTGAAAGAGAAAAAGAGATATTAATGGAATATAGACAAATGAGACAATCGTATGAAAAATATTTAGACAAAGTACAGGAGCAATTGATAATTGCAAACAAAATGAGAGAAGAAAGAAATAATTTATTAAAAGCTTATCTTGATAAACAAACTAAATAATTAATTAAGAGTTAAAGACTTAAAGTTTTATAATTTATTTTTGTTTTGTTTTTGGCATTATTTCAATTTAATGCAATACTGTTTATTTTGTTTTATTTTAAATATTATCTTAATAAATAACTTTTTTATGTAGTAACTGCAATATCTAACTGTAATGTAAACATACAAAACTGTTTTCTTGATGTTTGTTTATTACTTGGCAATATAATATCTACAATTTTATGCATATATATTATAAACATACATGTATATCTATATTTCATATTTTATGCATTACAAAATAAAAAAATTTATAATACAAAATATTTGAATTATAATACATTATTTTCTTTTTATCGAGATAGTAAATTACAGATTTCGTCACGAACATGCGTTCCTCTCACATCATCCTCATATTCCCTTGCATTATCGATCATTACAATTGGTCTATTTTGTAATTCAATATCAGGATATTCTTCATTTAGTTGTGGTTCAAAATAGTGTAGGTCTTGCACATTCGCAATGTTATGTAATACACAACATGCATGTATGACTCGTACCATTCGTGGTATATCTCGCAATTTGAAGTGATATAACTGACGAAATCTTTGCTTAAGGCAGCCAAATGCATTTTCGATAACAACTCTGCATGAGCTTAATTTCTGGTTGAATGATCTTTGTGCACGTGTCAAGTGTCCGTTATCTTTATATGGAACAATCAATTGTTTCAAACAAGGATAAGCACTATCTCCCAACAGGTAATAATTATCTGAAAATTATTATTATATATGTATATATACATATATATATATATATATATATATATATATATATATATATATATAATGTATAATCATGGACTATTATATGTATATGAACTGCTCATGTAAAAAAATGTAGCAGCAGCATGATAGAGATTGAAAATAACTTCAAGCTTTCTCTTCTAAGTGTACACATTGATTGTTAATGTCTGCGCCATTCAATGGGCGCACTTCTTAAAGGGGAAAGTGTGAAGTTATTTTGCATCTCTTTGTCACACTGTAGACAAGAAATTTCTTTGTTCTAGTAAGGGATGAACAGTTCATATATAATATAGGTCCATATTTATATTATAAAACCAATTTTTGTTTTCAATTTACCTCCACAAATATTATGTAGATCATTATATAGTGTTGAATTTTTAAAAACTCTTGCATCGTGAACGGAACCTGGATACCCAATAAATACGTCAATAAATTTCATGTCATGATTAACCGTCCCTTGCACATGAATGGAAAAATATTGTTTCCGATTTATATAGGAATCAGGATCTTCCGCAGGTTTGTCTATTTTGATGTGAGAACCATCAATAGCACCTGAAAGAGATTTCAATAATGAGAAGATTTCAATGAGCAAAATATTTTACATTAAAAATGTGAGAATATACTCTTATATATTTACCAATTATATTAGGAAATCCTTTTCGTTGTAGATAAAAGTTTGAGGTTTGTTCTTTTTCGAGATCAGTTGGATATTTAATAATATGATGCGCTAAAGCTAAAATAAAATCGGTTACTCTTGTTATTACTGTGTGTAACGCACTTATTGTTATTCCGAATCTATCTGCTACATCTCGATAAGATCCTGTTTGATGACCCACAAACCATAAATAACATAAAATATGTTTTTCAGCGCTTATTTTATTATTTTGTATACGTTCTGAAAAAATAAAGTATAAATAAACAAAATAATAAAATATTTTTATTTTTATTTTTTAAGTATTATTTTTATTATCTTTTTGCTGTATATATTTAAAGTTAAACTGATTTCGTTAATACCTTGTATAGAAGTAAATATTTCCGACACTGTAAATTGGTCTATTAATTGATATGCTGCTCTTCTTGACAAGCGAAAGTGCATAAGAAAATCAACGTTATTATAATTATGAACAATATGTTCGATATAATTGTTTATTTTCACATGTTCAATTCTTTGCACTAATCCGAAAATTGGATGTAACATGTGTAACTCATAAAAATCTGCAAATAAAAAATTATACTTACTAGTACTACTACTACTAGTACTACTACTACGTTTACGTGAGCGTTACTTCTGTAGCAACTTACGATAATTCCTTCGCGTAAACGGGATTTTGTAGTAACTTACGATAATTTACTCCGCGTAAACGAGTGATATATCGTAAGTTACTACAGAAATAACGCTCGCGTAAACGTAGTATAGGTTAGTTTACATTAGGTTAAATTATTTTAAAAAAAATTTTAATTTTTTCATAATATAATAATACATTGCATATAAAATACATACCATCGTCATCGTAACGCGCAATAGGTTGAAATGGAAACATATTATTTTCTTCATCATCAGAAGATTCAAAAAATAAATCATTCAAGATCATCGCCATGTTAATTATTGCACTGACGCGTTCTTTATACTTGCTCACAAACAACTTGTCCTGCTAGCACTAGTTCCGTTCAGTGCAGTGCAGTATGAACTCAGTGCAGCAATAAAGAACAAACCTTTGTTTCTTTTAATTTGAATTTGGAATAATGAATTTATTATAATGTAATTTGATAGGTTAAGGATTGTTGTAATAAATAGGATATCAGGTATGATAAACTTATATATATTATTATAAAATACGCTCGCTATTGGAGTGGTTATCGAAACATGCACAATCATGAATACAAGAAAAGAAATAATAAAAGTTAAAATAATACCAAATGACTCGTCGGTCCTTCATGCGGACACTTCCTTCAATTGCACATGCGTTTATCCTACGGATATATTAATATAAAAGTTATAAAAATGTTTGTGATATAT